ACAAGCATTTCCAAGAGTGGTGCAATACAAGAGGAGTGCGGCAAGTTACCGAAGACGTTTTACTGACATATTTTAATATAATGGAAAATGAAAATAAATGCAAATCTTCTACAATGTGGTCACGATACTCTATGATAAAATCCGAGTTAGTTATTAGACAAAATGTGGATATAAGCAAATTTTTAAAGTTACGTGCCTTTCTGAAAAAAACAAGCGAAGGATATACTGCAAAGAAGTCTAAAGTTTTCACTAAAGACGAGTTTGATAAATTTTTGTTTGAACCGCCAGATAAGTTGTATTTAGGATTAAAGTAATTGGGGTTACCGGCGCCTGTCGATGCAACGAAATGGTAAAAATAAAGAATGTGGACATTGAGGATAAAGAAAATGTAATAATTATCAAAATCCCAGACAGTAAAACACGACAAATTAGATCATTTACGATAATTGGTCAAAACTACATTAAACTGTATAAAAAGTATGCATCACTGCGGCCTGAAAATTTCACAGAAAACCGATTTTATCAGGTACCAAAATGGAAAGTGTTACCGAAGCGTCATGGGAATACATTCGATCAGCGCAGTAGCCCAAAAAGTAGCTAGTTATTTAAATTTAAACGATGCAAGCGCATACACGAGTCACTCTTTACGACGAACTTTAGGAACACTTTTAATTGAAGGAGGCGGAAATCTAGAATGCCTCAAACGACATGGGGGCTGGAAATCAAGCACGGTTGCCGAAGGATATATAGAGGATTCAATAAGAAATAAGAACGATAATGCTCAAAAAATTTTAAACCCTCATGATTCGCCAACATCGGGAATGATTGCTAAAAGTTGTTCTCGACCATCAGTATCATCAACAATTACCAATGCGTATCAAGAGTCGGGAACATTTTTGCACGTTTTCAATTTTGAAAATGCCTCATTAACTAATTGTACTTTTAATATTACTATTGGCGACGTACAAGTACTTGGATGTGATACGAGAAACGATCGTGCGCGAGTAGCGGAGAAATCCTGCAATTTTTACTGCACATTTCATAGATTTCATAAATTCATATTGTCAATTGTCATGTTTTATATTCGTTTTATATACATTGTCATGTATATAAACATGACAATTGTCATGTTTATTTACACCTTGTGTCACTGAAGAAAATGGGATTTAGTAAATGCTGTGTTAGAAATTGTAAAAATACAACAAAAAATTGTCAATTTAAGTTTTATTCGTTTCCAACTACGAAGCACAAATTACTACAAAGACAAAAGTAGATTTATATAATAAAAAATCATAAGTAACATAACCTAAATTATGCATAATTCTTGTGCCCGATTTTAAAGTCAGTTTGAAGTAAATAATAAATAAAAGTTCACTTTTAAGTGTAAATTTTAGTCTCATAACACTTACTTAGAGTTCACCTTAACCCAAAAATCAAGTTTAATGTTTATATTAAATTTTTTTTTAAGTTTACAAAAATGCATCAAGTTCAAGTTTTTCTGAAGCTAAATTAAGATATATTCGCTGTCCAAAAGTTTACAGGGAAAAAATTAATTGCTCAAACCAATATAATGATATCATGGGCTTAACCTGCTAATTTATACATTTATGCATTAGCATTATTTATGGTAATTTATTTTTCTTAATTCTTCCACATACTTAACATGATTTGCCCTACTAAAGCTTTTCCCTTTGACTCAGTGCTTGGTTGAAAAGTTATTTGGTGATTTACTTTCTCAAATCCAGTTTTTATTATTGCATCCATATTAACAGTAATGCTGTAATTTAATAATATATTTATTTGTATTTACACTACATACAACGTTTACCTTTTAATAACATACCGACATAACCTCAATCTTACTTTTTCTTCTTATTCTTTTTTGGGGCTACGTCCTTGACAGTTATCCGGTAACCTCGATATAACATGAAAGCGCAGTAAATTTTGCTGATTTACGACACCAGATGTCGCTGTTCCGAACTTGCACGGTCCCATTAAATAAAAATGATGTTTAATTGTTGTTAATGACATTTGTATTATTGCTTTGTGACATGTTTCATATTGTTGCCATGACAACATTTTTCCCTCCGCCGTAAAGAAATGGGAAAAAAAAACTGTTGCCGGCGGAGACATCAAACTTTGACTGGATCAAGTTAGATAAGTAATATCATCATTATTTGACGTTTGAAGAAAAAAAATTTTTTCATGCTCATTAATGTTTTCTTTGCTTGTTCGATTCTTGATAGGATTTCTTTTTTTTTTATTACACTGACTACTGATATTTGCTCCCAAATATTTTATAGAGTTTACCTGTTCTATTATTTGACCCTTGGCATCCACATGTACGTTTATTGGTGTGTTTGAAAATAGTAAAGTTTTAGTTTTGGAAACGTTTAGATGTAAACCGAACATTTCGCTATGGTAAACTACCGCATTTATTATATTTTGTAGTTCTTGTGCGTTGCTTGCTATTAAGACGGCATCATCAGGATTTCTGATGTCTATGCTGATTCTATTAATCTTGGACCTCGTCTAATGCTTCTCTGAATATAGACTCCGAATAGAAATTAAACAGTAGCGGTGATAAGACGCAGCCCTATCTCACTTCTCGCCGGATTTGTATATCTTCGGATATTGTGCGCTCTATTTCAATTGTTGCTGTTTGGTGCCAGTATAATTCTGAGATAATTCGCATGTTTTGTCGTCAACTCCAGTTGTTCCCACAGAATTTTGATCATCTTTTGATGGTTAACGCAGTCAAATGCTTTTCGATAGTCAATAAAGAATGCATATACATCTATATTCATGTCACTGCATAGTTGAGTTAACACATTTAAAGCAAAAAGAGCCTCTCGTGTTCCCAATCCGTTTCGAAATCCAAATTGAGTGTCACTCATCTGAAACTCGCACTTCTTGTAAATTCGTGTATGTATATTTCTGAGAAAAGTTTTAAGGACATGAGACATCAAGCTTAATGGTGGTGGTATTTTTCTTTGTTCGTAGCTATTAGATCCTATCGTACCTTTATTCTCCCACCACTACTGTTATTTCAGTATTTATTTTACACAAAAATTATTTAAAGTGTTTAACAAAATTTATGAATATAGTTGTCATTAGTATAGGCGTTTTCATCTTTCTTGGCGTGTGCGTGTAAAAACACTTGCAATAAGTTGTTTCATCTGTCTTTCCTTGTCTAAGCTCAATTCGTTTACCTCCTCCAGTGGCAGCTATCTGTATTCGTAAAGAGGCCGAACTTTTCACCGACACCGTATCGGCCAAATGCATCGGTGTTATTGCTACAATACTGGGAGACGTGAGTGGTCTCTTCATTCCCTTCTCATCGCACTTTACCATGACAAACGTGATTCGCACAATTGAATTACGCATCTGTGTATCAGAGAGAGACGAATATTAAAAATTCCGTAGTAGCTTATTTCAGGCATACGCCAAGAACGATGAAACCGAGTTTAGTAAGCTTTTTGTTTCAGTTTTTACTAACCAGTATATTATAGAAATACTAGGTAAATAGTGACTTTTTAAAGTAATTCCAGGTTATTGTATTAGGTATACCTGTTTCTTGTTTTTTCCTTATTTTAGAATTCTTAAGCCTTGTTTTGAGTGGCCACATTCAGTACCTTAGGCAACTTCGTATATTTACTTATAGTGCCTTCAATACAAGATGAAATTCTAAGTTGTCCTATCCAATTTCATTGTCTGTATTACAAGGTCTCATTTTGTCTTTGGTTTATATAATTTTATCATCCCATATATTGGTCTTTTATCCCAAAGCTCGAATTCTCCCTCGAGATTTGGCGTCTCTCTGGCCCTTTATATTGATTCTTCTGAGCTAAGCCATTCTTTATTAGTAATCTTCAAGTCCTCCTTCCTGTAAATTTTTATTCCTAAATTACAATACCCCAAAGTATTGGGATTTCAGGAAGGTAATTAAAACCATAAAAGATTAAAAAAAATAACATAGTCATATATGGTTGTTATTGTATAGTTTTCATTGTACAAAAAGGGTGTACATATGTGGGAAATTATTAGTATAATTTCCGTGTATGTGGACTTTATTAAATAAGGCTGGTTCAATAAAATTAGGATAAGTAGTAAAAGGTATACAGACAATAGCAAATTAAGTTTATAGAAAGTCTTACCAATATTTTTTCTGCTCCACACTCTCACGGTTGTTTCCGGTCTTCACTCGTGGTTATTCTTCACCCGCGAAATCTGTCCGATGCACCGGTTTCTGAACGCGGGTTTCGCAAATATATCACGCTATAGAGCACACTTTGTCTGCACACGATTTAATACAGTATTTTCGATATTTCTCGCGTAACTTAAGCGGGAAAGAGGTAATTACGATAGAAAAACAGCCAAGATAAATGCTGTTTTTCTTGATAAGCGAAGAGAGAGAGAGAGAGAGAGTGATCAAGAAAGAGAACGTCTGGCTCTAGTGATGGCCAAACTAATAGAGTGAGAGAATGGTCTGTCCTTAGCGACGGACGACCATCAAGAGAGTTCAGTCCTTATCGACAGCTGATAATCAAGAGAGTGCGTTTCTTCTTTGTTATCTTAGAACTGTCTGTATTTCGTAAGGAAGGGGGTTGAACTGTAAGTAGGAAGGGTTATTAAGGGTTGGACTAAGATAATTATTGTAAAATTGTGTTATAAGGATAGTTAATAATAAAGCGAAAAATGACACGATTTTTCGCATGTGAGAAAATTGAACATTCATTAAAAAACCAATTATCACTACTAAAAACGTGCATTATTTTTAAGTCATAGTAAAGAAATATTCAGACATTCATATATGTCAGAAAAAAGAGCCATATATAAAAGAGTGCAGTTGCAGATTATAGGTAATCTTAAAAATTTGCACCTGTATAAATTTGAAGGAATCAATACCGATAAATCGAATCACTAAAAGGAACCATTCGTCTCAATTCTATATCGAAATACGACCTGCTCTCCTACATACGAACGAATCGGGAAGGATAATGAGGTAATGCCTCTCCATGTAACAAATTGCCTGGTTATTTACCTAAATTTCCTCCGCTCGGCATATGTTCTATTAAACGGAAATTATAAATTTCGGGTCCGTAACAACCGACGAAAAGGTAGAAAATATCGGTTGTTGGTATCGAGTTAGGCCAGATTAGAGATTCTGTTTAGTATAAAGCAATAAAGGTTAACTTATTGCCTTACCTATGGTTTTATTTTAGCTTCATCCATGTAAATCCCTGTATTAGTAAGATATATTTGATACCCTTGAAATATTATAAAGGGATAACATCACAAAAAGGGGAAAGAAAGTTTAGGATTAGACTATGCGGAGAAGTTGTCATTCCTAGTATGATGCGTCCAATGGCCAATACTGATTATCAGATAATATTACTGGATAATAGGTATAAAGGGTGAAAGACCGGCGAACAATCTAAGCAAAATGATAAATAAGCAAAAAAAATAGACTGAAATCTCATTTACAACGATGGTAATAGTGAAATTAACGCATTATTTTTATCATGTTTTCAATTGCGAATTTAATCAATCTTTGGTCATTATCATTTGTATTTATATGTTTACTTTCGCCCCCTGTTATGTTTTTATATAGGCCTATATCTTGTCTTCCGACCTTGCAATGACGTCGCTTATAATAATTTGAATATCTTGTCTAGGCATTTCTTCAGACAATGCTCCTACTCTTCATAAACTTCATGCTTCACTTCTTCTCCTGTTTCTTCTGTTGGAGCGTGTATATTTATCAGCGATATCATATTCTCTTTTCCTTTAATTATAATTGCACACATTCTCTTAGATTTTGTTACAAATTATTTTATCTGCTACACGACACGTGTTCGTGTACCAGAAAACCTACTCCAAAATTTCTATTATCGCCTTCACTTGTATGGACTAATCTTTTTAATGTAGTTTTCAGTCAAATGTGTTTGTTGTATTGCTGTAATGTGTATTTTATATTTTTTAAGTTCTATAAGGTTAATTGATGCTTCCTCCTCGTATACTACTGGTACATTCCCTGTAGCAATATTTAGGTGGTAAGTATTCTTATTTTTTGTTTCGCTATTTATGGTAAAAATCATTTTCTTGTTCATCGCTAGGGTCCCTTTGCATAATGGGTCGTCTTTTTCTTTTTCCACTGCTATATGCCGTTTTTTGAGTCCATATTTCTAGAACCGAAAGTACTATTTCCGGCCCATTTCCATTTTATGCCTACCACCTAATTCTGTACTCTATCTTGACATTTTTACCTTCAGCTCTTAATTCCTTTCCTTTATCTAAAATTTCCTGCCTCATGTGTCTTTTCTTTTCGGTCAGGTTATGGTTGATGAAGATCTTTTTTCCAGTAAGAAGTCTGAGTTTGCTTTTTTATTTCATTACCTTGTTTTTTTTTAGCCATAATCCTTAATTTGTGAAAGACATATACCGCGTCTTAGCTACATTGCAGATTCTATTTAGACATCCTCTTTTAGTCTTCGACAAAATCTGTAACGAAATTTTTTAAAAGTGTTTTATCTATTGCGACTATTGATATACCTGTAATTACTTTGTTATTTCTTTTCATCTATTTTTTATTTTTTTTTACTTTGTATTCAGCTTGCGTTAATTTGCTTTTAGTTCTTCCAATTATTGCTTTATCTTTATATTTTCGCTATATTCCTTTTTTTATTTCCATTTTTATTTCTGTGTAAATAAGTGAACATCAATCTTATATTAACCCTTAACCCGAAACATTGGTCTAACGGACCACAGTAGAGTGTAGAACAAGCATAGTTCTGCAGTGTCGTAGCGATCGCTTTTGTGTTTACGTCGTAGTAACAGTAGTTTTCAAAACTGTAGGTCTAGTAAGTCAGGTGTTTCAAATTGCAGTGTTTTTATAATAGGTCTAGGAGTCCACTTGTTACAGATTGTGTACTGATAAACAATAAGGTATTTCATATCTTTTGTATAATAAACATAATAATTATTCTAAAAATTTTATTTTTTAATAATAATGCATAGAGCAGGACCTAGCGGAACTGGCCGTAATAAAAAAGTAAATCTAGCTGAACCAGATTTTGAAAATAATATACAAAGATTACCACTTACCGACGATCAAGATTTATATTTATTAGAGCAAGGGGGTGACGAGGACATGAGAGATGTTATAGATGATTTGGATGAAGATCCCGACTATGTAATTCGGCAACGTGAACCCTCTAGCAGCGAAGAATCGAATTCTGATCACGAACTTTTGGAATTAGATGAACCGTTGAATGATTTACTTTTCAGAACCGACTTTTTACAAGTAAAAGGAGATGTGAACATATTCAAAGAAAAAAATGGTTTTCAGTGGCAGCGAACTGAGCCTCTGAGAAATACAAGGACACGAACACATAACATTGTCAGAGAATTACGAATAACAGCGGTAAGCAGGACTATGGGAAATAGCCCTTCTAAATCAGATATTTGGAAGTTGTTGATTACTGATGAAATGTTGGAACAAATTGTAACATGGACAAACCAAAAAATTATTATAATGAGAAAAAAGTTATCTGATTCGACTAATACATCAAACTACAGAAGCACAAATATAGTTGAGTTGAAGGCTTTGCTTGGGCTTTTTATGCTATCTTCAATTATAAAATCTTCTCATGAAGATATGCTTCAACTGTTTTCTAAAGGTGTTTTGGGTCGGCCAATATTCAGAATGACGATGTCTTTGAAAATATTTGAAATACTTTTATCGTATCTTCGATTTGACAATAGTATGGATCGCTAAGAGAGGAAGAAAACTGATAAAACAGCAGCTATTTTAAATATTTTTAATAATTTTATGACTAATTGCCCGAGGCTATACACGTTGTCGATTGTTTAACTGTAGATGAGATGCTACTTCCATTTAGAGGTCACTGTGGTTTTCGAAATTACATGCCCAATAAACCTGCGAAATACGACATAAAAGTAATATGCATGACATATGCTAAGAGCTTGTACTTCTATAATGGATATATAATATATACCCAGGGAAAGATTCGGATGGTGTTTGACTTTCAGAAGAAAAACTGAATTTTTCCAAGTCTGCTCAATGTGTCATTCGACTATCCAAACCAATAGATGGCTCTAACCAAAATATTACTACTGAACTATTTTTCTTCAATAGAGTTAGTCACAGAGTTGCAAAAAAGCCACCTTACATTTGTGGATACAGTCAAAAAAAAATAAGCGAGAAGTTCTTTTGGAATTCTAGGCTAATAAAAGGGAAATTGGTACAACACTCTATAGTTTTTCTAATTATATCTTGACTATCCACCTTGATATCATATGTACCGAAAAAATAGAGCTGTTCTTTTATTATCCTCTATTTTAGGCAAACCAGAAATAATTCGATACAATAACAGTACAAAATCGGGAGTTGATATTGACGTTGGCCCTTAGCCGTATTTTATATACTTATAAATATAAGTTCAGTCAACAGTTACATCCTTTATCTTTGTTACAAAGATAATAAATTACTTCCACGTTTTAAATTTGTAAAATATTTGGCCTTTGAACTAATTCAGCCTCATCTAAGGCAAAGGCTTGAAGCAAATCTTTCCCGAGACCTTAGAAAGCAGATACAGATGTTTTTGGGAATAAATCCCGAAGTGCCTGTCGAGAATATCGGCGGCAATGTTCCAGACGATAAGCTTCCCAAAAGAAAATTGTGTAGCATTTGTCCTTCATCAAAAATAAGGAAGACAAATTATAAATGTGTGCGTTGCTCATATGCTATTTGTTTGGAGTGTAGTAGAAAGGTTTTCAAAATAGAGTGTTTTCAAAATTAGTAAGTAGCTGTAGTATATTTTTTGTTTTATCTAGAAATATATATGTTTGTTTACTTAATTACGCCTAATAATGTTGTTTTCTATATTACTTATTTTGTTTTATGTATGTAGTATGTATGAATAATTTTTTTGCTCGTTTATACCTAATAAACGCTTTAATATTTTGCTTTTCTCTTTAAATGCATTTGTTTTTGATTTATTTCAATTTTTATCTATACTGGTCCAATAGACCATATGTTACGCAATAGCAATAAATGTTTCCGTTTTAGGGGTTAAAAATAGAGAATTTGATAGATCTTAAATATGTAAACATGCATGGGATAATGAACATAGGGTTTAATGGAATGATTCAAGTATAATCCCAAAAGAGACGGATGGTAAAAAGAGAAAAATCAAAGAAACAGCTCTAATTATGCTAAATGAGATCAGTTAGGTCGCAAATTCCTCGGTAGAATGTAGTAGGGTCTGGTTACCCATATTAAAAGAAGAAGTTATTAAAAGGAAAATACCAGTATTAGTAAGTCAGTAACATCAAGAATTCATTATTTATGTTTTTTTAAATAACAAACATAAAAAATCAGAATTTGGTATTTATTGAAAGTAAACTAAATGTACAACCAAAGACTTATCATATCGGGGTAGTATTATAAGTTTTTTTTCTGGTTTTTCCCTCATAATTTACTATGAATAATACACTAACAGAAAAAATTTACTGTCATCATGGCATGTGGTTGTCTTTTTGAAGAATGATACTATGATTTTTTCTGACGGATATTCTGAAGTTAAAGTTGATTTCATGTAATCGAATGAACTATCTTATAAGTAAAGTCGTCCCAGGAGCACAACTCAACAATATTGGCAATATCATTTTAAAGTCGTCTACTTTAAAATGCATAATGTATGTCTGAATTGTCAATATAAATGAGTCAAATAAACTTAAATTCTTAGAAGAATTTTTCACCAAGTAACAAAAAAAACAAAATTTGTCTAATTTGCTTATGTTTGTATTTTGAGAGCGATTTCCGAATTGGAAATTGAAACGTGAGTAAACTTACTTTAACCTTTAACTGTGGCTTATTCCCATGAAAAATGCTAATAAAATTCAATATTGAACAAAATTCAAAATAAACTCATGATAGGTATCATGAATATTTAACATTGTAGTTTATCATTTAATTTTTCATTTATGTACCACAATCATTATAAGATCATGTTAATTAAAAGAATTTTATACTTAGTCGATTTTTCTCTTGAATTTGCAGGAACTGGTCTATTTTATCGGAACTATCCAGCTGGACCGGCGAAAAGGTAAATTCTAATTGTTAGTATATTTTCCCGTCTCGAAAGCCGGTTGAGTAATTGACTCCATTTAGTCTTAGTTCTGTGTTTTCCATCGTTTTGCGGAAAAATAGGTTGTTTAACTCAATTGTCTGTATCAGCCTTTTTTAATTTTGAAAAATTTGATTCCTTATTAATTTGGTAATTTGTATTGTAGTTGGTTGTAAAATAAATATTTTTTTTGTATTGTTTAAGGTAGTACAATAATTTTCAAGAAAATAAAATATAGCACTTCTGTTGAATTT